ATGGGAACTCATGACCTGAGCTGAAATCAAGAGTTGGATGCTTAACGGACTGAGCCACCCAGGCGCCCCTCGTTATAAGTTTTAATAAGGCAACTATCAATAGATAGACATAAACTAAAGCTCTTTGGAACTTTTAAAAGTGTCAAGGAGTCCTGAGACTAAAAAGTTTGAGAATTGTATATTAGATGGAAGCAGAAATAAGAAGGCTATTTTAGATATTCAAATATGAGAAGGCTCGGCAGCAGAGCTAACAAGGTTTTAGTGTAGCTTCAGAGTTAAGTGCTTCAGTGGTTCATTAATGAGGAATGCAAAATAGAATCAGGAGCACTGAGCCTCCATTAAAGACACAACTGGTAATGAAATGTGATCACAACACACATGGTACGACACAAAAACAGTTCAGAGACAGGAACAACTAAGACCTGGGAGCCGAGGGGAAACAGGGATGGATGTGTTCCACAAAGAGTATATAGGCAATTGTACCTCAACATTTTTTTTTTCCTAAGCAGACTCTTTTCCTTCAGGTTGTAGAAGAACAAGTAAAATCTTATCACTGTGAATAAATTTTAAAAACACAGTTCCATGCTCCAGAGATGGGCAACACAACTGTGCTCGCTGATCTGGCTACAAAAAATATACCTGTACTATGTATACCTTCTTGGGACCCTCCCTCACTGCTCATTCTCTATTGTAATAGCATTCTTTCCACTGGGGGAGAATTTTAACCTGCCACCAAGCAGTATGACCTCATAACGTCCCATCTTTTTATTTTTTTTTTAAGATTTTATTTTTAAGTAATCTCTACACCCAATGTGGGGTTTGAACTCACAACTCGAGATCAAGAGTCACATGCTCTTCCTACTGAGTTAGCCAGGCACCCCCATAACATCCCATCTTAGCCATCCTAACCAAACACCAGTACCTTCAGCACCATTACAAAGACGCTAATGCAGAAAGGGCATCTCCTTGCCGACAAAGCTTTTGACATCTATTCTCCCTTGAGCCCCTCAACAAGCCTATGAAACATGGAATGTAGGCATCATTATTTCCCACTTTACTGATAAGACCCAGAAAGGCCAATTGACTTGGAGTTGCCTGGTAAGTTCAGAACAGTCCTACGGCCAGCACCGGGCCAACTGTGTCCTAAAGTGGTGCTCTCTCTCCTTTAGTAGTTGCCTCAGAATACCCGTCACCTCCACATCCCTAGCTTTGCTTTTCCTACACAACAAAAGATTTCTAATATTGAATTCTGCCTTGGGACAGTCTAGGATATATAAATGTGCTCCCTAAATTCTCTTTTTTAAAGCCCCCAAAGAAATTTCAGCAGAATTCATATTAACCTTAAAAAACAGGTCTATGCCATCTGATGGGGCAGGTATGTGATGGAAAATAAAACAGAGAATGCAAGAGAGTTAGGAATCTTTGCCCTAAGAGTTCCAAGAACTTTTTTTTACTTGCTAATTTCATCACAGAGACGAGAAACTATTTCTCTGCCTCATCAATCACATCATTCTGAACAATGAAAATACACTCATTATGCCAAAATTCCATTACAACAGAATAATTTTCAGATCCCACAGAGTGTGTTATAATGGAAGAGTAACTCCTGGGGCCACAGAGAAAGCTATAAAGATTCTTCATACATATTCACTCCTACCCACTTCTAAAAGGTTGTGTTGCATGTGTACATAGAGACAAAAGGAGAATGGGGAACCAATAGGAAAGGTAAGAATAGGCACAGTTCTGCTTCCCAGACTGACCGAAAGGCCTGAAGGTCTATGAAATGAAGGAGGGAAACCCCTGGATGAGACCTCAGAGGAGAGGTCCGAGTGGCAGAGGAAGATCTTGCACATAATAAGCCAGCAGGACGTATTTCCCATCTGCTTTACCTTGGCCTTCATGTTTCCTTTCAAAAGCTGTTCTTTTAGAGATCCTTTTTTGGACCACAGATCTTTGAGATACTCTAACGAACCCTATAAATCCTAGTCCCCCAAAACTACACATATATATATATATATATATACACAAAACCGTGTCTGATTTCAAGGCATCTCAGGCCTCTCAGGACTGCCGTTGGGGGCGGTTAGGCTGTTGGAAGTTAGTACTGCTACTTCAGAGTTATCATTTGCTCATACTCCAGCACTAATAATAAACTCCCTCATTAAGCACAATACAGTCTCCACAATCCAGGAAGGAATGGACAGGTATGTTCTGCTTTGTTCCATTTCTGTCTCAGTCACTGAGAAAACAAATGAAATAAATACACAGGGAAGGGATTTCCCTAGATGAGGCCAAGTCAAGGTTGCATGAACTCTGGGGGGATAATGTAAAGTCCTGAGTCCTGAACGATGGTCAAACTAGGTGAGCTAAAGGGTCCTTTGTAACCCAACAGACTGATTTTGGAATGTTCTACACAATGGCAGAAACTCTACCTTGGGGGAGAGTCCACCCTCAAGAAGAGACTGCTCAAAGTCCAAGGACACCAACCCCCAGGAGAGGACCACACTTGTAACGCAACTGGTTTCAGCCATGTCACATGGCACTTGTGATTGGGGCCTGCAGCCCATGGAGACCAGACAGCAGCAGGTACAGAGAGGGAGGCTGTGACAGGGGAAAGGCAATATTGGGAATTCCAGGTGTGCACCTGGGAGACAGTGAGGCCATATATCAGTCCTGCCTAGCTCCAGATCTTGAAAATTTTCAGCCTGTTGCCCTTCCTAAGTTCTCAGAGTCTCAACTCTGGACACCCGAGAGCATGCTTAGGTGGGACTTTCTAACTGCTCCCCTTACCATCCAGGATTTGGAAAGAATTTCACTACCTCCTCCTGGAGCCTCAGGAATGAATACTGGACACACCGGGTTGGGGCAGACCTGGCAGAGGAGAGGAGTGGTCAGTCTCTAGGTATTCCTTCAGTGGAGCAGGGACACCAATAGATGGTGGAGGAGAGATGACCACTTGGTACTCAAGATCTGAAGCAAGCAAGCGGGAGGCAGCCTGGGAACAGGGGAACAGAGAATCACAACAGCACAGGAGACCAGTGGAAAACACAGCCAGAGCAGGAACCACTAACGAATACAAGAGATGGATTAGACACAAGTGGAATACGGGCTTCCCTAAATCCCTTCTGCTTGTTTTGCCTTCTGCTGTCACACATCTTGCCATGTGCAGGCATCGCTTTTGGAAGAACTTAATGGTTCCTGTAAAGGGACTCTGTCTTTAAAATTGAACCTCATCCCAGGGAATAAAGTGCTAGTTCTGCTTTTGTCCAATATACACTGGAGGAATGACATGGCACCATAGACACCCAGGTGCCTCACTTTGACATATCGTGGTAGCCAGGAGTCCCAAGTCAGAAGTCTGGTCCCAACTCCAGCCTCATCTCAGTGTGACCTCTTTGGGAGCCACCACCTCCCCATTTCATGGTAAAGGAAAACCAAAGGAGCCCTACAGCTGCCCTGCATAGCTCTGACAGCTGAGGTTAGCAGATTCCTACATGGCTCTGGCAAAGGTACCCACCCAGGTGACATGTTAGCAGGGTCCCAGAAATTTCCCAGTTTATGTTCTTTTGGGGGTGGCTACAGATGGGGAGAGCGGCAAAGCATCTGGAAGCAAAGGAAGGAGATTTAGGAAGACAGGCTGGTATAGAAAGAAAAACATCAGATTTAAACCCCAAAATATCGCATCTCCATTTACTGGCTGCATTTAAGTTCTCATTTATAAAGTGAGCATCCGACTTCAGCTCAGGTCATGATCTCACAGTTCATGGGGACAGCCCAGAGCCTGGAGCCTGTTTCAGATTCTGTGTCTCCCTCTCTCTCTGCCCCTCCCCTGCTTGTCCTCTGTCTCTCTCTGTCTCTCAAAAATAAATGTTAAAAATAGTTAAAAAAAAATACATTATATTCAAAATGCTATCTCAAAAAAGATTTGAGATAGCCTACAGAAAAATACAAAGATAAAGCTGGACAAGAGCAAATATAAATCAGAAGGCCAAAAACAGAAGATCTATGCATTTTATTGTGTGTAAATGACATCTAAAACATACCTCAATTTAAAGAAGCAAAAACCAAAGAAACAAACAAAAAAGCCAGAGGAGGAGAACAAAAAATGCAGATGGCAGGTCCTGCAGTTTCAAAGTTAAACTGAGCTTCCTGCCAGCCAAAGCTAAAAGGGAAACATGACCACTACCTAATTCTTATTGTAAAGGCTTCAGATCTGAAATAATGGCTCTCTGGTACCTTCAATGAGGGCCAGAATCCTTGGGGACAACTCTGTAGTATGTACAGTAACATGTGTCCTAAGGCCGTCCCTGACTGGATATATCAATGTTGGCCCAACTGAACATTTCTGTGGTAGGAGTCGGGTAAGCAGGTAATGTAAGTCAAAGGAGAAGCTTGGAGGCTCAAATGAGATGAGGACAAAGAGCTCAGGAAACTGTGAACCCTTAGGTGAGGGGCGCAGAATTGACTGCCCAGGGTGACTAAGCCAGCTAAACACGAAAGCGACTCTGGCATCAGCCCTATCCCAATGCAATTCGTAAACAAATGGCTTAGTTACATGGGGTGCTCTCCAAAATAGCAACCAAAGCCACTCCTGGGCATATTCATTGAGCTCCACATAGCAGAGGGCCCTGACTGGGCCCCCACATCCATTTTCTCCTTCATCTTTTAGTCACAGAAGCTCCTGAGTTTTAACTGGACACATGGCCACCCAAATAATGGGCTTGTGTCCCAGCGTCCCTTTCAGCAGAGTGTGGCCACACTGATTTGAGAGACTCCAGGTCATAGCCTTTGAAAAGAAACTGCTTTGTTCTCTCTTTCCCTGGTGTATAGTAGACACAGAGCCGAAGAGCCTGCTTTGACCTTGAGGGCAAGGTCAACACCCAGGACTGGCTGAACAACAAGACAGAAGGAAGCTGAGGTTCTGGTGACCTTGTACAGCTAAATCTGTCCTGGACCATCTGATTACATTTGTACTATTTGAAGAGCAAAAAATAAACTTCTGCTAAAAGCCACTGTACTTTTGGTTCTCTTTGTTATAGCAGCTTAGCCTGTGGCTTAATCTAATTCACAACAGAATGGAAAGATGTCAGAGGGAGATTCCCAAGGACTCAGGCAACACCCTAGAAAAGTCAACTCACAATTCACTTCAGCAAACAGGTCAGAAAATGATAGCCATCACACTAAGTTATGCCTTCTACTCCTTCTCCAAGAGAGGCCCAACCGCATCCCTGGAGTAGAGGAAGAGGCCTTTATTACAGCTCGGCCCAGCCTGTCCACTGCGGGCCCTGGCCAAATCCTCAACAGCTGGAGATACAGACTGCTTTCCCCACCAACACTAGGCAGGGACAGCCCTGTCCTACCTTTTCCCCTAAAGCAGGAAAGCTCCACACTTCTCCACTCTTCATAATTACCATTCTTGAGAACAGGCCAAGTCCAGTAAGGCGTGGGGTGAAGCAGCTGCTGGGGGGCTGTGTGTGAGGGGTCAGGGGAGGGGAGTCCAAATCCCCAGAACAAAAGTCACAGCTGGGAAGAGGGAGGGAAGCTTCCATGTCTGCCCTGGGTTTCTGGGGGGCGGCACCTGCTCCTCCTGTGTAGTCCCCCTGGTGGCAGAGCTCAGCTGGGCAGCTGCCAGCCACTAGCGAATGCCAGCCACGGGCACCTGCTGCTGCTTGCGGATCTTGTTGAAGAGTTCCATGTACTGGGCCATGGTGTCTGCCGGGCCGTAGACAGCATCGTGTCTGTTCCCAAACACTGCAGGAGCCCCTGGTGTGTGGCTGCCTAGAAAACTCTGTAGAAACTCGAGCAGCAGGTTCCAGCAGTCACTAGCTACCACACAGGGGCCATACTCTACCTGGAGACCAAAAGAACAGAGAACAAAGGTAAGTGAGGGCAAGGACAAGGTCTCCTGCTTCTCTTGCACCTCTTGCACCCTGCTCCCATGTTCCCCAAACCCCAGCAAAAGACAAACACCTTGTAACACAGTGTTGATCCATAGGAAACAGTCAACCCAAACACCAGGGATTCGACACACCCAGCATCATTTCCTTTAGGCATCTCAGACATTCTCATCTTGCGAGTTACCAAGCCATGGCCCAACCCATAAGACCCAGGCCCCTTCTGGTGATCTCAGAACTGTATGTTCTGGTATGTTGCATGAAGATCCCAGGAGAGCTCAGGAAAACGTGTTTATATGTCTGTGTGAGTGTGATTGTGTGTCTGTGTGTGTGTGTATATCCATAGTGTGCAAAGTAGATACCCATATTTGAAATCTTTTCAAGACCAAACATGACTCCCAAAATAGACCCCACCTGACCCTAAGAAGTAATTTCCCAAACAATGTGGCAGGGGCCAAAGATTATACATCTTAGACTTTCTCATTCCTTTCTCCTAATTTTTTACCAGACAGATGGCAGAAAAAATAATTAGTAACATAAGGGGAAACGAGGAAAGAAATAACTGAGATGTATTTGTACCACAAAGTTGGAAACATAAAGGAGAAGCGAACAGTGGGTTCCCAGTGGGTCTCAGAAAATCCAAGGCGTATCACAAGCTGAAAGGGGTCAGGAAATCTTGACCCCAGAGGTCCCTGGAGTATCAAAGTAGTAATTCCTGCTAAGGCCCTTTACTCTACCTGGAATGCCTTGTGGGCCTTATCTATCCCCACATCTCTACATTTTTAAGTCCCTCTTTACATGTTACTCTTGCAGAAAGCATCCCAATCCCCAAAGTCAATGCTTTCATTGGCCTGAATTCCCAGAGCAATCTGGGCCTTTTTTATGGCATTTCTTAAAGACTAACTTCAAAAACAGTTTGTGTGGGGGCACCTGAGTGGCTCAGTCGTTTAAGTGTCCAACTTCAGCTCAGGTCATGATCTCACAGTTTGTGAGTTCAAGCCCCTTGTGGGGCTTGCCGACAGCTCAGAGTCTGGAGCCTGCTTCAGATTCTGTGTTTCCATCTCTCTCTGCCCCTCCCCCACTCAAGCACACTCTCTCTCTCTCAAATATAAATGATAACAAAAAGTTTGTGTGTTTCAGCTTCGCTAGCTTACTAAATTACACATTTTCAAAAAGCAAGCCCTGTAGCTTACCTATTTTTTTTTTTTTTTTTTCTTTCACAGTGCTGGGCACAACAGATTGAGAAATTTCACTGGTCCCAAAGCCAGCTACTGCCACACTCCCTCTTTGTCATCTTCAATATATACCCCAGAGATGAAGTCACCACAAACACACACCTCTTTTCATCATGAAAGTTGACAGCATGTCAAAAGGAAAGGCTCATCAATGCTACACAGCCTTCCAGACTTATCTTACAGGGTACTGTGGAGAGGTGTACAGGCACACGATTTAGGGCCCACCTCTCAAAAGTTACCTGCACCAAAACTTGTCCTGGTCTGCTCCAGTCGTTGTGATGGGTGACCAGTCCCTCCACATAACAATTCACTGGTCTCCCTTGACTATCCCTTCCCTTCTCCAGCAAGACAGCCTTCCTAAGCTTTCTCCCTGTTGTGACCCCAGCTTCCCATTCCCACCCTGAGCCACAGCCTGAACGATTAAAGAAAGGCTACAAGATGCCCTGGAGACAGGGATCAGGGAGAAATACAAACACCTGTTTGCATTCAGAGGGATGTGGAAATCTACAGAGCCCTTTAACACATACTGCTATTTCCCCAAAGTCTTACCTCTACGGAGATGCCTCGGGCACTGGGCCCCATGGTAACTGTGCCCACCTTCACTAGGAAGTCACAGTACTGGTAACGGGTACCCCGGGTCTCAATCTTGCTAGCCTTGGCACTCTGGAAAAAGCCCTTGAGCTTCACCATGAGCACATCGAAGTTGGTGTCAGCAATGAGGCAAGGGCCATTCTCAAAGAGGGCGAAGCAGCTCAAAGGGTACTCTGAGTTGTGCATCACGTACATCAGCTTCCCAGCCTGACCTGCAGGGACAGAGATCCTATCGGCATCAAGACCTCCATCTGCAAACCCCAGGACAGAGTCAAAGGCGTGGAACAAGGCCAGATGGCATTGTGGCATTACCTCAGCGATCTTGGAAGGAGATGGGGCAGGGGGGGAATCCCCTCACTAACAGTCTTTTCCAGAGAGGAAGGGAGACGAATGGCAGGCAAGGCAGCACGTGGTAAAACCTCACCCCACAGAAAACATGAGGAGCACAAGGGAACTTTGATAGCAACTGCTAACAGTTTAGTTAAGTTCTTAAGAGGGATGGGCTCACAGATGGATGTTTAATGATGATGATCAATGATGATGATCGATGACCCACACAGACTTCACATACAGTCTTCTGTATGATCATTTCTTGCAGACTAGGGACAATGAAGTAAAATTAACAACACCTGAGTATACCAAATGACGCAAATGCTCTCTTTTCTGTCCATCCCTTCCTCCCTTGGCCTCCTCCCTGAGACACAAAGGTGGCCCCACAGAAGCAGCAAAGGGGAGGATGTGAGCTTGAGGCTGGAAAGGTAGGCCAGAGTGAAGCTGTGATAAGTCTTATTTTCCAAGCCTCAGGAAGTATGGACTTTACCCTGAAGGCAGTGATGAACCCTTGGAGTACTTTAAGATATCAGCTGACCTGGGAAGCAATTGGCACAATCGCAGAAAAAACTCAGGATCTGGAATCAGAAGGTTTACTTTCAAGCCCCAGTCACCCCTTCCAATTTCTGAAAAATGAGCTTTCTCATTGATTACACTAGAGATTTTTCTGCAAGAAGGAAGGAAAGCTACATATATTTGGTTAACTAAGAAAAGGAAAGCAAGATCCACTCCCCCCCTTATATACTACAAGAGTCAATGGATAGACAACGACAATCCCAAGTATTTAAGATTTACCTATTCAAATATTTATTAAGTACTTAACTATCCCCAACATCGTGCCAGGGTTTAAGAGGCAGGTTTAAGAGATTTAAGTAGAGAACATAGCAGCTGGCCTCAGGAAGCTGACACTCTCACTGGCAACAGGGGAAAGACCAAAGTGCTTATGTGGAATAGACCAGATGTCTTTTTGGAAGGAAGAACAGAGCCGGAAGAAATCAAAGTGGGCAAGAGTCAGCAGGAAACATGTTCATGGAGAAGAGGACTACGTACCCTATGAAGAGAGGATAGAGTTCAGCCACACTGAGAAGGAAAGATATTCTAGACAAGGATGAGAGTTTAACAGTGGAAAAGAGGAGATGGGGTGGAGGGGCCGCTATACAGGCCTCTACTCTGCTGCCACTTCCGGAACTCAGGCCCTGCGCCAACCTCCCCCCACATCCCTCCTCACTGCTTGTTGCCAATTCATACATTTCACCTCCTGCTAAATCCAGTGCAAAACATTTCAACCCTCCAAAAGGACCAAAAGCTGATCTATCATTCTGTTCTTATGCAAACTCACTGTAAGTACTTAATTCATAACTATGTAATCTGAGAGTGTTCTTACTGTCTTGAAAATATTTTGACAGTCAACTGAGGTTTTTTTAATGAAGGCACTGCCAGTTGTTTATAACAATAATAATTTAAGTTTATTTATTTTGAGAGAGTGCGTGCACAAGAGCAGGGGAGGCGCAGAGAGAGAGAGGGAGACAGAGAATCCCCAAGCAGGCTCCTGGCTGTCAGTGATGAGCCCAACAAGGGACTGCATTTCATGAACCGTGAGATCATGACTTGGGCTGAAATCAAGAGTTGGACGCTCGGGACACCTGGGTGGCTCAGTTGGTTAAGCATCCGACTCTTGGTTTTAGCACAGGTCATGATCTCACGGTTCGTGGATTCCAGCCCTGCATCAGGCTCTGTGCTGACAGTGCACAACCTGCTTGGGATTCCGTCTCCCTCTCTCTCTACCCCTCCCTTGTACTCCCACTCTCTCTCAAAAATAAATAAATAAACATTTAATTAAAAAAAAAAAAAAAGAGTTGGATGCTCAACCGACTGAGCCACGCAAGTGCCTGACAATAGCATGTTTTAAATCTCAACAGAGTATTTTCGTATCTGCACACACTTGTGAAGCAAGCAGAACCAGTGTCACTGTTCCCCTGTTACAGACAAGGAAAATGAAGCTAATGGGTTCTGGACCAGCAGCAGCAGCACCACCAACTGGGAACTTAATGGAAATGCAGATTCTCTGTCCCAGCCCACGCTTACTGAGTGGGAAACCCTGGAGGGGCCCAGCAATCAGTTGTGACTGAGCCCTCTGGGTGATGTTAATGCTGGTCCCTATGAGAACTTGTGATCCAAAGGCACAGAGCCAGTAAGGAACAGAACTGGACCTCCAATCCAGGCCTTCTGACCTTAAGTTTATTGCTCCTTCCATTCTACCCCGCTGTCTGCCATGAATGTGTCCTCTCCCCAACTAGACTGTACCTCCTTGAAGAGTAAAGGTCAGGAAAACAAAGCCCGTAACAGGTAGTGTCATCGACGTAGTATGCCATCTTATATCTATGCATAAATGTTTTGGTTTCCAAATGCTTTCACAATTCTCTTTTAATTCCTACATCCTTCCTACTGAAGGCAAAACTAAGAGTAACACTGTGATCTTATTGATGCTGAAACTCCATACAGCTCTGATTTATCAAATATTTATTACATTTACAACCTCAGCTCTAAATGCTTTGCAGATACTAACTTAATTAGCACAACAACACTAGGAGATCAGTACTATGATATTTTCACTGTACAAATGACAGAAATGTACTGGGAAGGTACAGAAACAGAGCCCATAGCAGATAGTTTCATCAGAAGGGATTTAATACAGGGAACAAAATACAGGGGTTGGAAAAACTGAAAAAACAAATGGTGAGGCTGCCCAAATATTAGGAACACAGGGATGTACTACTATCCTTAAGGCTGGAAAGAGAAAAAGAAGATGTGCTGTCATTAGAGCTAGACAAGAGCGCCACCCAGCAGGAGCTAAAACCAAGGAAGAGACACTGCCACAGCCAGAGACCCAGAGACACGGCCCAAAGCAGAGGGAGAGGAGGAGATATTGTGCTCTCCCTTTCTTCTGTCCTCTAACCTTCCCCAGTGTAGTAACTGGCCAAAGGTAACTAAAAAGGGGCCAGCAAATGTTTGAAGGGGAGGTGAGGGTAATGGATCCATGGAGAAATAGGCAAATGACCAGCACAGCAACAGTCAAAGGTTGTGGGAGTTCCCTAAGTTACAGCTAGTATGTGACCAGAACTCAGTTCTCTGGTTCCATGATCTAGGCTCTTAATCACTGTGCTTTGGAACTGTCCTAAGTCAAGTAACTGCAGAGCCAAGACTAAGAGAACCCAGGTTCCCCAACTCACATTCAAAGATTCTCCTGGGGCAGTGGGTGACTCAGGTGGTTAAGCATCTGACTCTTGATTTCGGCTCAGGTCACGATCTCACGATTTCGTGAGTTCCAGCCCCACAAGGGGCTGTTAGCGCAGAACCTGCTTGAGATTCTCCCTCTTTGTCTGCCCCTCCCCCCACTTGCATTTTCTCTCTCTCTCTCTCAAAATAAATAAATAAACTTAAAAAAAAAAAGATTCTCTTTGTCTCTCTACCAACACCACCAATCATCCACAGTCCATCTCACCTCTCAATATATTTAAAATAAAAGTTGATTCACTGGTCAAGGTTATGCCAATGAGGTATCCAAGACTACTAGCTAGGTGTGGGAATCAGAAAGCCTTTCTGTAGAAAGTTCTAAACACTCTAAAGCTGCGAAAGAATCATATACAAAGACTTCTGAGCCTAAAAGGAGTCTTTCTCAAACTTAAAAGGGTGCTTAATGATCCTCAAGGGAGCTGGCTGAAATGTAACTGAGGCCTGTAGCTCCAGTCCAGTCAGTAAGCAGGGCCAGGACTCTGCACCTTTAACAAGTAACCCAGGTGATTAGATGCAGAGGCAGTTAGCCAGTGACCAATCCCCCCGAGAAACGCAGCTCTAAAAGTGAAAAGTGCAAAAACACCAAAACACAGGCCCCGTATAAGAGATGAAGGACGAAGAATTAACGAACTCAGAAACACCGTCTGCCACATGTTCGAGAATACCACCCTTTGCAAAAGAGCATAAAGAACTCAGTGAACCCGAATGTCAATCAACTCCAAGCCAAGGTTGCATCTCACTGACCTTGGCTGCCAAGAGTGGAGGCGGCGGTGTGGTAGGTCTCACAATCCACACAAAATGTTCCTTGTTTCTCTGCCCCAAGCATCTCCAGTTTCCGGGTGAGGAGCTCCACGGTCTGCTGGACACTCTTGCCCTCAGCCACAGGCATCTGGGACACACTAGAAGGGAGAGGACCCAATCATCAGTATCCAGAAGCACATGTGCACTCATTGAGCCACTCATTTGCCCACAGACTCACAGCTCTTCAGGGCCAGGAGTTACCTTAAGAGACCACCTACCCTGATCCTCTTTCTCATTTTAAAGACAAGGAGAGAGAGGCTCAAGTCCCTGAGAGCTCCACTAAGAACTACAGCACAGGTCTAAGGACACTCACACCAGTGCAGTGAACGTCCTATCACACTGCTTTCCCAAGTGTGACATGTGTGCCAACGTTCAAGAGGTTTTAGGTGGCACACAGACTGAGCATTCCCTAACATTAAGTCATATGAGAAAAGAACATCCTTTGCAATTCCTTCAGTTCTGACTATATCAGGAAAACCTCAATTTGGGGTATGTTTTTACCAAGTCTCTAACACTTTGAACGGGCGCTGTCCAGTAGAGTAGGCACAAGCCACATGTGGCTTTTTACACTGAAACTAATAAACTAAGTTAAATTAAAAATCCAACTCCCCGGGGCACCTGGGTGGCTCAGTTGGTTAAGCGACCAACTTCAGCTCAGGTCATGATCTTGCAGTTTGTGAGTTCGAGCCCTGCATCAGGCTCTGTGCTGACAGGTCAGAGACTGGAGCCTACTTCAGATTCTGTGTCTCCCTCTCTCTCTGCCCCTCCCCCGCTCACGCTCTATGTCTCTCTGTCTTTCAATAATAAATAAATGTTAAAGAAAAAAAAATTTTTTTAATAAAAAAAATTTTTTTTAAATTCAACTCCCCACCTGCACTATCCACATTTCTAAGGCTCAAAAGCCACATGTGACTAGAAGCCAGTGTATTAGACAATGCTGTTATAGAACATTTCTGTCATTGGCAACTTCTTTTCAACAGCCCCAGGATCAAAGAGAAAGCAAGCCTCAAGTTTATAATCCTTAGGAATGAGAGGCAACAGTATGTACACAAATTTAATCCAAACAATGAAATAAAAATGTTCAAGATTTCCTTCTATGGTAAGTAAAACTAGCTCCCCCTTTAGAGTAGTAGGTAACAATCATTAGGCACAAACCATGTGCCAGACCATTCCCAAAGGCCCTTAGATGAATTAACTCTGAATCCTCACAAAAGCCCTATAAGATGAGCTGTTAATTATCTCCTTGCTACAAATGAGTAAACTGAAGTGGAGAGGGGTTGAGTAACTCGCGAAGGGCCACATAGCTTGATGTAGTGTAGCCAAGATTCAAAGCCAGGCAAGCTGGCTCTAAGTCTGTGCTATACTAGACCGCTTCCTTAGGGTTGTAATTGCCTTTTAAAATATTTTTAAGGAAAATAAATGGATTCGAAAGAAAACATTAATAAATAATACAGGTGGTACCTAACTACATAAAAACCACGTTAGTGAATTTTGGAAGATACATTACTTTATGATCAACTAAATGAAGGTATAAGAATGGAGTCCTGTAACTAAAAATTGTCACTACTCTCCATCAGAAAAAGCACTCATAAGTAAGGATGATGATATGCCTTATTGTGAAACATTGTAAAAGTGATACTATGGGGGGAGTCAGAAGTCCCAGGAGTGTGAAAAACTTGATTAAGGGTCCCAACAGACTGACAGCCCATTCCTTCTGTCTTCTACTGAAAGAACAGGGGCTCCCAGGGTTCCCAGCCACTATGCTACAAACTTTTCATTCCATTCCTCACACATCCCCCTTGCACTAGAGGATTTGTAAAAGGTTCATGATGTCCACTGTAAACAACAAAGGTGACATCATGGACAAACCGACAAGAACCTGAGCTGCAGGAAAGAGTGGTCTCCCCCAGGCTCTTATGCAAGAAGCTTCCAACCAGTGACTTCAGATATCCTAACCTCCAGCTCTGACTGGAAAGATGCTAATACTAAATATTCAAAACAAAACAAAGCAATCCCTGAAATCTAGCATTTTGGAACTAAGGCCTGCAAGAGCAGTAGGCCCATACCTTCCTCTGCCACCCTGAATTATATCATGTTAGAGATAAAAAGTCCATAAAAACTAGACCGCGTAATTAAACACAGAGGGAGACGGATCCCCAAGAGGTGACGCGCCTGAACCCCAATCTAACTGCCAGCAGCTTTTTCTCTAGACCCACTAGCTTAAAACGACCACACCAGAACCAGACACGGGCTGGTCTTAACTGCCTTAGGCGGCTGTAGGAAGCAGCAGGAGAAAACCTAAAAAAAGATGGTTTCCCCGTGGCCTGTCCCCCACCCACTCCAGCTTCGCCGGCAGACTGAGTTCTAGTCCGGACATCCTATTTCCGACCCTTAAGTTTCACTCCGGGCAGCCCTATGGCCTCATGGGAAGGAAGAAAAAGGGAAGGAGGTACACAACCACCGATGGGCTCCTGGGATAAAACCTTTCACTTGCCGCCTTCCAGGAAGCACCGGAGCATCTCCAAACAAACAAGGCCGGAAAAACCGCAGCCCTTACAGTATCTCCCTCACCCACACATTCCGAAGACATCTTGCTCAGCTTGTGCGGGGCGGCAGACCCTGGTCCCGCTCCTCCTCCCGGGTGGCTCCGAGGGCCTTTCCCGACCCCAAACGCCGCCCTACAAAGTCCCTTGGGGTCCTACCAAGTCACTCCCATGGTATCGGACCAGCAAGGTTGGCAGGAACAAACAGTTGATTCGCAGCGTTCCCCAGCCACCCACACTAAGTGAAGACCCCCCCCCCCAACGCAAGCTTCGGCCGAGGGAATGCAACGGAAATGACGTAAAAACAGAGCGCCCAGCAGACGCGCTCACGAGGAACAGGGGCGGGTCTAGGCACCTCCTGGGTGACGCCTCCGGTGACGTCCTGGCTCCCAGCTCCAAGTTCACGTTTTGCTGGGCACAGAAGGCCTAGATCCATGAAGGTAGAAAGTCATGGCTCGGACTGCCACCACTTCGAGAAGTCAGCGTTAAGTGCAATGAGATCATTCGGAAGTCCAGATCCAGGACCCGTGAGCTCTTTTAGTGGGTGTGGCGGCGCTGATGGCATCCTAGCCTCCGAACGCTAGGTGGCGCCGTGAACTCCGTGGGCGGTGGGGACGCTCTTGGGAGCTGGAAGTTCGTTGCGCAAGCGCACTTTAGGCTTTTTCCTCTGGCCCCACGTGTGAACCTTTCCGGCAAAGTTTTCCGGGAAAATGCCTAAATTCAAGGCGGCTCGCGGAGCCGCAGGTCAGGAAAAACATGCGCCCCTGGCTGAGCAGATCCTGGCTGGGGACGCGGTGCGAGCAGGGTCCCGGGAAAAGCGGCGGGGTCGCGGGACCGGAGAAGAGGAAGAGTACGTGGGGCCCAGGCTGACCCGACGGATTTTGCAACAAGCGCGGCAGCAGCAGGAGGAGCTGGAGGCCGAGCATGGGACTGGGGACAAGCCCGCAGCACCACGGGAGCGCACCACGCGGCTGGGTGAGTGGCAGGGGGTGTGTGCCAGGAATAGGGTGGTTGGTTGTGGGGAAGAGAGGTAGACGGCCGAAAGGTATCCGGCAGGGAGGAGTTTGGAATGAGAAAATCAAAAAAATAAGGGGTCCGCATTACATCCTTGCAAAGGTAATGACTCTTGCAAAGGGTTTCCCCAGTCCTGGAGCAGATTTAGAGTAGTCAGAGCCCTCCACGCCCACTTGTAGTTTTTAAGTATTCGCTTCTGGGCATCCCCGAAGTTAGACCAACAGGAAGTAATTGCTCACGCCGCAAAGAACTCCTAACATTTGTCTATTTGTTCTGTAAATACTTGTGGGATGTCTAGCCTGTGCTTTGCGCTGCGCTAGGAGTTTACATGGTTTGGGTAAAGAGGAAAACAAGAAAGACATGTGTCTGACTTCAAGATCTTTCAGTCTAGCCCAACAGAGAGACAACTATTAGGATAATACATTTCACGACAACGAAAACATAGCTTCTCTTATAACAGTAGCATTACTTTTGAGGGTCAGGCTTCCCAGACTGCATGACCTTCGTGCCTGAGACCTGAAAACCGAGTGGTGAGTGCTCTGAGCAGAAAGAACAATATTGATTAGGAGCCAAAGAGGAAGAGAAACTAATTAGAAGATGGTCAGTATTTTTTATTAGGGTGGAAGTGTGGTCTTCCCAGTTGTTTAATCTGTTTCTCAGATCTCATCTTTCATCTGTCCTGAGAGCAGTGTTTGACAACAGTTGAACACTGGTCTCCTGGCTTCAGCATCTTTACTTGGCTTCTAAGCCATCACATTCCTGTTTTACTACTTCCTCACCTCTCAGCATCTTTTGCTGGCTCCTCTTTTGTCCTCACCCTCTTATTGATGTGCCACAAGGTTCAGTTTTTGGACCTCTTCTCTTCACAGCACTTCTCTGTTGCTGTCGTCGGTTTCTCGGTTTAAGTATCTTCTATTTGATGACTGCTCCCAACTTTGTATTCTAGCCTTGATCTTTTCCGTGAAAATCAGATTCTCCTATTTCAACTGCCTATTTGGCATCTCCAATTTGAAGTCTAATAGACGTCTCAAATCAGTATGTCCAAAACAGAAATCCTGATCTTCTCTCCAGACCGGCTCCTCCCACTGTCCTCCTCGTCTCAGATAGTAGCATGATTTCCTTCCATTTGCTCGAGACAGAAACCTCGAACCCCTCTCTTTCCTCACATCTGATCTGTTAGGAAATCCTGTTGACTCTCCCTTCAAAATATATCCAGAGTTAGATCACTTCTCATCACCTCAGAACACAGTCCTATTTGAGCCACCGTAATCTCTCCCCTGGATCATTGTAGTAGCTTCCTCATTAGTCTCCCATACCCCCTCCAGTCTGCTCTTAACTCAACAGCTAGAGGACTACAGAGACCTACATGATCTGCCCTTGTTGCCAGTCTGGCCTCTTCTACTTTCCCCTCGCCCTCTTCATCCATACATGCTTTATTGTTCCTTAAACATAGTAAGTTAGGGCTTTTGCCCTGGTTATTCCTTCTGTTTTCATAACCCTGTAGGCTAATTCCCCTGATTCTTCGCCTTCTCAGAGAGGCTGCCCTAGCCACTCCATTAAAAATGGAAACACACCCCCCTCCCCTGTTTCCACCCTCCCAACTTCTCTGCTCTGCCCTATGTCTTTTTTCGTAACACTTGTCTTCTTTTGATATTTATTATCGTTTATCTCCCTGATTAAAACATAAGCCCCATAAGTTTCTCTTTTACACTGATTTTTTTCAACACTCAGAACAGTACCTCACATATAGTAGGCGCCCAGTGTTTGCTGAGTGAATGGGTTAATGATAGTAAGTTAGGTAGGAGCCAAATCTACAAAAGACTTGGAGGCTGTGTTCAGGATTTAAAGCTATCCTAAACACTGGGAGGCTATTGGAGAATATGGAGACCTGTTAGGGGACTGTTGAACTAACACGGGCAAGAGATGATGCTGATCTAGGCTTAGGCAAAGCTGTGAAGGATTTGAGAGATAGTGTGTGAAGTAGAATTAAATAGGACTTGGTAATTGTGTCTTGGGGGTGAAGGGAGGGGAAGAGGCAGGCCTGCCAGGTTCTGGCTTAGCAATGGGTGGATGGTAGTGCTCTTTACTTAGACATGGAACACAGTGAGTAGTGTAGACCTATAGTGTAGACCTAGGAGGGAAGGAGTGAGTTCAGTTGATGACAGGTGAGATTTGAATCGCCTGTGGGTCATCCCCAAGCTGCCATACAGGAGGCAGCTGGAGTTAGTATCTGGGGTAAAGGGAAATCTACCTACAAGCCCAGATTTGAGATTTGTCAGCATGGGGAAACAAAACGTCTGGTGCACCCCCCCTTTCCCATTTAGCTTTTGTCACACGCTGCCTCTGTTCTTAAGGAGCTGGTCATGTGTAGCATTTTATTTTTCTGCGTGGACTGTTACATCCCTTTCCAAATGGCCAGCTGGCTGGAGTCATCCAAGAATCAGTTATAAAAACGGGTTGTTTCACTGAAATCTGAACTCCATTGCCTGGCCTCAAGGCCCTCCACAGTCCGGCTTTACTTTACCCATCTAATCTTATTTCTTGCTATTGCCTATCAGATACTCTCGTAACCAAGCCTTCCTGCCAGTGTTGTTACCCAGGTCTGGACCACACTCTTCCATCTCCCTTACTGCCTATCCAGAGCCTAACCATCCTCTGCTCTCACCCCCTTCTGTGTGCCTGTGGTATATTTTGTCTCTACCACTCATTTTGGCCTGTCACGAAGCCCTACAATGTGTGTAGAACAGGGGTGAAGAATGCATAATCTAAACCCGGACTACCTGCCTTAGGCAAGTTACTTAACTTTCCTTTTCCTGTACTTCCAAGTCCCCATCTGAAACTGGGTAGAACGAGGGCACCTCCCTTGGTGTTAGGAAAGTTACGTACAGTCTTTAGAATAGTTCCTGCTATATGACTGACTGTGTAGCACGTCAGCAGTTACTCGTTGGCATCGCTATCTCCTTGGTTCACGTTTGTACATTTTGTTCCTCAAGACTGTAAGCCCTTGGGGGCACCTGGGTGGCTCAGTCGGTTAAGCGTCAGCCTTCAGCTCAGGTCATGATCTCACAGTCCGTGAGTTCAAGCCCCGCATCAGGCTCTGTGCTGACAGCTCAGAGCCTGGAGCCTGCTTTGGATTCTGTGTCTCCCTCTCTCTCTGCCCCTCCCCTGCTCATGCTCTGTCTCTCTGTCTCAAAAATAAATAAAAACATTTTTTAAAAAATTAAAAAAAAGAAAAGACTGTAAGCCCTTGGGAACAGGAAGCTAGCGGGCGCTTCATCACTTCCACTGCACCCATCTGTACCTGCTGCAAGCACATGTGAGGCCTGCATGCACATCATGGGTAAAGTTGAATTGACCTCTACATCCCTCAGCCGCTGCTTGCCTTGCTTATCCATTTCATCTCCTCTTCTAGGTCCAGGGGTCCCGCGGGATGGATCAGATGACGAGGACGAGGAGTGGCCCACCCTGGAGAAGGCTGCCACAATGACAGGGGCAGGCCATCATGCAGAAGTGGTTGTGGACCCTGAGGATGAGCGTGCCATTGAGATGTTCATGAACAAGAACCCTCCTGCCAGGTAGAGCTGGCGTGGCCTGGGATTAGGGGTGTCGGGTCCTGGTGGCAGCTTTCCACAGGGAAGCACATGTCCTGGCAGTTTTGATTCCCTACATTTGGGAAGGGTCCGAGCATAGCTAGTTGTAGGGAACCAACTTGGCAAAATTGGCCCATCTTCAAAGGACCTATCTGAGTGAGAATGAACTAGACCTCCTGCCCATCTGTCTGTCTGCCTGTGGGAGAACTGCCTGGACTGCCTGGGGAAACAGCTGCAGGGCCTTTTTTCAGGCCTGTGGGGCGACCCATCTCTTTGCCTTTGGTCTTGGCATGCTCAGTTGTCTTACTGCTATGTTCAGTTTCCTTGGCCAGATCTCTTTCGTACTCTCAGCTTCATTTCATCCAGGGTTTCTCAGCCTCCTCACTATTGGCATTTGGAGCTGGATAATTCTTTTTTTGTGGAGGCCGTCCTGTGCAATGTAGAATGTTTAGCAGCATGCCTGACTTCCACTCACTGGATCCCATTGGTGACCTTTCCCCCATCACGACAACCAAAAAATGTCTCCAGACATTGCCACATGTTCCCTGATGGGCACAATCACCTCCTGTTAGAAGCACAATTTGTTGTCGTGTATACTAAATGGTGGCTCCACAACATGCAGGCATTTAAGCTCCTGTGATCAAACTCTTACGCCCCTCGATTTTGATCCAGGGGAGGGGAGTCTAAAGGATAAAGGCCGTCAACTAGTTCATTCTGACCCTGTGACACTTAACATGACACTGTTCTTGGTTCTTGGGCTTTTTCAGGGCTGATGTATCTCTCATTGCTGGTAATACCGAGGAAAGACAGGGAAGCTGAATGATTAAGTTCCGTGGTCGCTTATTTGAGAATCCAGAGTCGGACGCTTAACTGACAGTCCCTGAGGCGCCCCCATAACACATCACTCTGACATGATGGGTAGGATGATTTCATAGCTTGCAGTAAATAAAAGAGTAATGCTACCGGAAACGGGGGCTCCTGACAGTCTTGAGAATTGATGGTTGGCACCTTCCGAAAGCAGATCCAGAGCCACGTGAACTCAGCAGAGGCCCATTTAGTTTGGGGCTCAGTATTGTATAAAAGTACCTGAACTTGAGAACCTGAAAGACCAGGGTTTGACTCTCCCCACTTAAGAGCTCTGAGAGCTTGATTGAGTTATTAACCTGTCTGGGTATCAGTTCCTGTGTCTGAATAATGACGGTAATGACACTTCTATCAGATGTTGCACTGACTACATGGAATAACATCTGGAAAGTCCTGCTTCAGCGCCTGGTGTTGAAAAAACAGGAGCCATTTTAAAAATACCTTAGCATTATTTTACCAAAGCACACTGTGACAGTAATTGTGAATTCTCGTGATAGAGTTATGTTTGATGCACTCTGTGGAAGGAACCTGAGAGAAACATCATACTCTTAGAAATATCTCCATAAATTTTAATAAGTTAAATTGAGGGGATGTTTGTGTCACAGCCACCCCCTTAATGGCTCCAGCTACTTGAAATCTTGGTAAAAAACTGAGAGGTGTCTCTAGAGAGGTCAGACTAGAATTTTGTAATTGGAGAGTCCTCAACATGTTATCGGCGAGTGGTGAACGTGTTTGAAACAGGCAACGCTTACTACATACTTGCTGTGTGCCAACAGTTCCAAATACTGACATACGTTAACTCATGTAATCCTTACGGTAACTTTATGAGGAGGTACTGTTATTATCCCTGGTTCACAGACGAGGAAACTGAGGCATAGAGAGACCAAGGAGCATGCCCAGGGTCATGTAGGGAGAGGAAGAGCCAGAATTTGAACCCAGGCAGACTGATTACATAATGAGTCCTGGTTCTTCACCTCCACACAACCATCAGCTTTGTCCCAGGTCGAATGACCTTTGGGTCCTCTGCACCCTGCGGGGATTCTGTGGTGGGCAGTAAGACCCAGGGAGACTGGGGCCGCACATCCCAGCGGGATCACAGATGTACTGGAGCTCACAAGGGACTGTGGGGGGAGTGTAGAGCTTCCTGGACTGGCCACAGCCCTCCCTGCTTCCCTCCCGCACCTTCCTTACTCCTAGGCGCACCCTGGCTGACATCATCATGGAGAAGCTGACCGAGAAGCAGACGGAAGTTGAGACGGTCATGTCAGAGGTGTCAGGCTTTCCTATGCCGCAGCTGGACCCCCGGGTTCTGGAGGTCTACAGAGGGGTCCGGGAGGTAAGAGCCGAGTGGAGAGCCACGATGAAATACCTCCCAGGGGCCATGGGCTCGCACTAAGGGTTTGGGTGCCCACGTCTTGTACAAATGAGGCATGGTGGCCAAGAGCAGGTTAAGAGCCCCAGTGCGTGGGTTCAGATTTCTGCTCTGCCACTCAGGGACTTGGTGGCCTTGGGGAAGATTACTTAACTGTGGTCTTGGTTTCCCCATCTGGAAAATGAGAGTGCTGATGACATACCCTTCAGAATTGTTGTGAGGATTGAGCTAATCTGTGAAAAGCACCCAGACGGGGACCTGGCACACGGCGCACGTGTCATTGACGGTGATGATTTGCACTCGCCTCCGCAGGTGTTATCTAAGTACCGCAGTGGGAAGCTGCCCAAGGCCTTCAAGATCATCCCTGCACTCTCCAACTGGGAGCAGATCCTCTACGTTACAGAGCCCGAGGCCTGGACAGCAGCCGCCATGTACCAAGCCACGAGGTGGAGTAGATGGGGGTTCGGGTGGCCTGGGGTCTGTAGGTAAATGCTGGTTGTGGGGAGACAGGCTTTCTCTGCCTTGGCCGTTACATTTGAGCTTTGCCCCAGAGCTCTGTCTTGTGCTTCTGTAGGTCGCTGTCTTCCCAGCTTTTCCTGTTTCCATGTTTTGGGGCCGGGACCCTGTTGAGACTCTCCTGTGATGAGTTTCCAGGAGAAAGGCTTATAACTACTGGAGCACAGCCCCTGGGGTGTCAGAGTGGCCTCCAAAGCCTGTGGCTCCCTGGGCATGCTCGGGTCCCCTGCGACACCAGGGTGGAGAGAACGAACCCATGTCGGGGAGGGAAGGTGAACAGAGGAGAGCTGTGGCTCCCCTAGGACAGAGCGTTGACTCCGTTTAGGTACCCCTCGTAGCCCCTTCCGTTCCCTTCCTAACGTGGCGGGTGTAGCAGGCGCACACGGGTCACTTCTGCACACCCCTCGAGTCTCCAGTGTTCACCGTCCACAGTGTATTTAAAATGCCAGCTCTGGGCTATCATGTGAGCTGGAGTCTCCCCCATATCTTCCCCAAAATAGGATTTTTGCCTCTAACCTCAAGGAACGCATGGCCCAGCGCTTCTACAATCTTGTCCTGCTCCCCCGGGTACGAGATGACATCGCTGAATACAAACGACTCAACTTCCACCTCTACATGGCACTCAAGAAGGCCCTGTTCAAGCCCGGAGCCTGGTTTAAAGGTGGGAACCCGGGAGGCCGCTAAGAGAGGGAGGGGCTAGAGCACCTGCAGGTGAAAGCAACAAGCCTGACAGGAGATGACTGTCTCGGGTGGGTGGGGGGTGCTTCCTGCTGTGGCTCTCTCCTCTCACCCTGGGCTCAAAGTGCCTTCCCCTCTGACCTCCCCAGGGATCCTGATCCCACTGTGTGAGTCTGGCACCTGTACCCTCCGGGAAGCCATCATCGTGGGTAGCATCATCACCAAATGCTCCATCCCTGTGTTGCACTCCAGGTAGTGTTGGGGGGAGGGGGGAAGAGGACTGTGAGTCAGGAGGGATCCAGATAGGAGAATCCCAGGACTGGGGCTGGAGGGGATGGACAGAGTGAGGAAGGAGCTAGGAGCAGCCCTGGATCTGTGGGTTGTTTAAGCTGTTGGGTGTGTTACTGCACCAACAGAATGGAAGTTCCCCTGAAACAGGATCCCCACCTGGCACAGTAAATAGTTGAATGAACGAATAGGGAACATGAGAAGAAAGGATGTTAGGGGTGGAGATCTTTAGGTGCTTGAATGTATTCTAGCCAGGTACTGAGACGAGCAGGCTGAACCAGAGGTAGGGATTTGGGGTGAATGTGTATACAGCTGGTGACTGAGGCCGAGGAGTAGAAGCTGGGGTAGGTGAGAAGGAGGCCTGAGATGGCCCCCTTAGGAATAGGCACGGTGCAGGGGCCAGCAGAGGAGGGGAGGGGAAGAGGCAGGGGAGAGGGCGGATCTTGCCTCCAGCATCTCCCCCACCACTGACCCTTCCTCACCAGTGCAGCCATGCTGAAAATTGCCGAGATGGAATACAGCGGTGCCAACAGCATCTTCCTTCGGCTGCTGCTGGATAAGAAGTACGCACTGCCCTACCGGGTGCTGGACGCCCTGGTCTTCCACTTCCTGGGCTTCCGGACAGAGAGGCGCGAACTGCCCGTGCTCTGGCACCAGTGCCTCCTGACTTTGGTCCAGCGCTACAAGGCAGACCTGGCCACAGATCAGAAGGAGGCCCTCTTGGAACTGCTCCGGCTGCAGCCCCATCCACAGCTGTCCCCTGAGATCAGGCGTGAACTTCAGAGTGCAGTGCCCCGAGACGTGGAAGACGTTCCTGTCACCATGGAGTGAGGAAAGTTACTCGCCCTGGTCTGAGGGGCATGGCGGGGGGGGGGGGGGGGGGGGGGGGGGGGGGACACCAGGATCCCTGCTGGGGACACTGAGATTTTACAGCTGAAGTCCCAGATCAGGGCAGGGAGAGAGGTCCCAGGCATCTGTGGCTCCCTGTACCTGACAGGGAGGATTAAGGGTCTGGCTGGGCCCTTCTTCCATCCTAGGCCTTCGTCCCTGTTCGGTTGTGAGACGTGACTTGAGATGCCACATGCCAGCATCTCCACTCCCTGACTGAGGCTTGGAATAGGTTCTTTTTCTCAGGCTCTTGTGTCAAGTCACTGGGATGGGGATAAAAACCAAAGGGAGGTATTTATTGAACTTTTGTGTTTTGATGTGATCGATGGAGATCTTTGTGCTTTCCCTCTTTAGCTGGAGGGAAGCTCTTCTGTTCCTGTCGAGGAGTGGATTCTTGCCAGTTTACAGAGGATACCCCCATCTCCTTATTCTACAAGTTTGTGTCTCCACACCCTACCCACCCTATTAGCCCCTTGAGGCATCCTCTGCCTTCAACTTGAGGCAGAGGCTACTTTGGAGGTTGTTCAAAAGATGGTCCTGTCTCTTCTGTGGGTGGATTGCTGCAGGAGAAAGTCCCTAGAGGAAACTGAGGCTACAGAGAAAAGAAAATCAGGCCCCGGAAGGAGTAGATCCAGAGTCCCCACCAGACAGGTTTTCTAAATTTCTTGGCTAATTTAAAGTTTTAGACCAGGGATTGGCAGACTAGAGTCATATGCCCATTTTCTTATTGCCCATGAGGTAAGAATGATTTTTACATTTTTTAAATGGTTAGGAAAAAATTAATATTTTGTGAGATGAAAATTCTATGAAATTCACATTTCAGTGTCCGTAAGTAAAGTTGTGTTGGGACGCAGCCGTGCCTAGCCACTTGATTTTTATGGTTGCTTTCATGCTCCAGCAGCAGAACTGAGCACAGTTGACCCTTGAACAGTGCAGGGCTTACGGGCACCAACCCCCCACATAGCCAAAAATCTGCGTGTAATTTTTGACTCCCCAAACTTTGACTCCCCAAACTACCAGTAGCCTACTGTTGACTGGAAGCCTTACTGGTAACATCAACAGTGGATTAACATGTTTTGTAGGTTACCTCACATATATAGTATTCTATCAAGTACACCTGAGAAAAGAAAATGTTGAGAAAATCACAAAATACGTTTAGAGCACAATTCACACTGTATGAATACCATACGTTTATATGTCTCCTGGAAAAAAGTCTGTGCAGAAGAGGACCTGCAGGGTTCAAGCCCACGTTACCTAAGAGTCAGCCGTACGGTCCTGCTAGAACGCTGCTTATTTGCTTTTGAAAACGTGAATTCGTTCCAACGCAGTTAATGCATTTGGGAAGAAGTTGATCACAAGTTTCCCGTTTATATGCAGTTTTCTCTAAGAAACACTAGGTGGGAACTGCCCAGCGGAGGCCAGCCAGGCGACACCACCTGCACGTGCCTCCGACAAGTACCCAGAGCAGCCTCTGCTCACCTTGCATGGAGAGCCACACCCACACCTGGTGGCTTCGCTCCCCTTCCACAGCCTTCTGACCTCTGCTTCCACATACTTCAGGTCTTTTCCAAGATAAAAGGGCTGTGTCCTAGTACAGGTTTCTTAACCTTTCAAACTGAAAACTGGGTTATCCACTCTATTTCCTTTAAGAAATGTGTCACTCATTAAGTTTTTTTGAGTATTGTGCCTCAAGCCCGGTTTCCCATGAGCCCTGTGGTTTTTATTGTGCAATTTTGCATGGTGCAGTGAATTTTAGGAATGCATACATCCCATTGTAAAGCAGAGCTGACTATATCTGGGGCAGAAACCAAATGACCCGCAAAGCCTGAAATATTTACTTCCTGGCCCCTTACAGAAATGGCTTGTGGTAATCTCTGCATGATGACCCTTGACTTCTGCCCTGCTTCCCTCATGCAGCCCAGAAACGGCTTTTCCCCATAGCACCATCCAATCCAAGAAGCCAAAAGCCAGGCTTATTCCAGAATCTTTATTAAGGTAGCATGATGGTCCCGGGCCACCAGCCTGGACCTTGTGGCTGTAGGAAAGACCTGTGTCAACAGGGCTCGCCTCCCTCTCCAGACAGGGGCTCAGTCACCTCCAGTTTATCCCTACTCCATCCCCCACCCCCAGAGAATGGGGCAGAGGGCCAGAGGGAGAGGAGGGCATGGCCCTACCCCAGGCTGTAGCAGCTCCTTGGCCACAAAGATCCTCCAGCCAGTAGCAGAGGGGAGGGATGCAGCAACCACCAGGGTTACCACCGCGTGTGGGGTCGATGGGCCCCACCACACCCTCTTTCAGTTGTCCTCAAAGCAATTAATAAATTAAAACAACTTCTTCCTTCAGCACTAACCCCCCTCATTCACACAGGAGAAGCTGAGCGGAAAGCAAAGCAAGGAGGGATTGGTTGGTTCTTGCCCGCCCCTCGGACAGAGGCCTGGTCCCTCCCTCTAGGAGCAGCTGCGCGCACGGATTATATTGGGGCCTCCAAAGCGTGTCAGGAGGAGCTGTCCAGACTGTTTCCCCTCACACATGTCTATCAGCATCTCTGAAATCTCTTCAGAAAGACCCCAATCCAAATACATGAACTCTGGAAGGTGCAACACCTTTACAAGGCACTGGGGGCATTTTGGCATTTGAGAACACGAGAGCCCCAGAAATAAGGGGGCCTCAAAAAGGAACGCTGGTGCATGTATTTTACCTACTTCAATTTCATTTCCGACCAGCCTGGCCCACCGCCAGCTAGGATCAGGGAAAGAGCGGAGCCGGTCAGATGCAGGGAAAAGGAGGAGCCTGGCGGGCCACCCAAACACAGCTGGCCAGGCCCCTTAGTGCACACTGCAGGGATAGGTAGGGCCTGCCCCCTTCGTCTTGGCGAGGGGCGAACAGGAGGGGGGCCCCCTCAGGCTTCCGATGTGGCGTGGCGTGATGTGGTTCGTTCCTGCAGGCAGGGAGGGGGGGGTGGCGGTGTCCCCTCCTCTGCTGCCAGTGGCCACTGGAGGGGGCCTCTCCGGGGCTACAGGTGAATGGCTGTGACGTCTGTGGGAGTGCTGGTCTGGCTGGGCCCCTGGCTACTGGAGCCCCTGGGGGCTTTGGGCGCCGGGCTGGGCGAGGTCTGGGCGGCTTCTCTGAGGCTCTCCCTGAGCGCAGCTTCAATCTGCTCCTGACAGGCCCGCAGGCAGTCCTGCAAACACGGGGGAACAGCAAAGGGTGACTGCTGGGTGGAGGGCAGAAGGTCCCCTTTGGAATGAAGGGTCTGCTTCCCACCCCCACAGCATCTGGCAGCAGATGTGGGTGAGGGACACCTTCCAGCACACAGGGAAGTTGGGAGGTTAGGCCACAACCCAGCCCCAGGAATCAGCCTTCAGTTCTAAGAAACTGGCAAGAGGATGTGGCAAGGGAGTGTGAGAGCAGCCCAGTAATCTGACAGCAGCTCCCCCACCCTCACTCTTGCACATCATTTGGCAGGAAAAGGGCACCCAGGAACAGTGCCCTTCAACCCACCCAAGCCACCTGCTCTTCTCCAGACCAAGACAGAAGGCCACAGAAGCCCCAGGGGTGGGGCACCTGAAACCAGGAGTGGAGACCAGGCTAGGGATGCATTCCTCCCTCTGCTGGAGGCTCAGGGAATTGCACTGCTTGAGGAAGTGCTGACCGGCCACAGCCGGCGCCCCTGCACTCACCACCTCTGTGCCTGTGATCCCTGCCAGCAGCTCTGTGAGCTCGTCCCCAGTCGTGGAGCACGCGCCCAGGCCTTGCACTGCAGCCCCAATGCTGCCCGTGGCGATCATGGACGGTGGGTACATGGCAAAGGTGTAATCTTGGAAAGGAAGAGGGAACCATGAGGCAAAGGCTTTTTTAAAAGATCACGGCCAGCACGGACTTCCTACTGCTCCAAAAATGCCAGGCAGCGAGAATAGAGCTGAGGGCATACCAGAAACCCCAGCAGTGAGTACTATAAGAGCAACGAGGGAGAAAGGCAGGACCAGGGTGAACAGGAAACTTGCACAAGTGTGTCTGCTCCAAGGTGGTCGGTGTGCCAGGGACCAGAGGGTGAAGGAGTCTCTCCCTGGTGTGGAAACAAAACCAGGGTCAAGAGACCTTGGTTGTGCTCCCAACTTAATGACTGTGAGACCCTGAGCAAGTCACTTCTCCAAGCCACTTACAGACTGGTGGTCTCTAAAATCCCATACAGCTCTGCAGCGCCTGGGTGGCTCAGTTGGTTAAGTGTCCAACTTCAGCTCAGGTCATGATCTCTTGGTTCACAAGTTCGAGCCCCGTGTGACAGCTCAGAGCCTGGAGCCTGCTTCAGATTCTGTGTCCCCTCTCTGCCCCTCCCCCACTCACACTGTGTCTCTTTCAAAAATAAACACTAAAAAGAAAAAAAAAAATCCCATACAGCTCTGATCATGTTCTGCTGCCTCTTCTGAGCCTCCAGAAGAGAGATAATATTGACAAATTTTGAGAGGAGTATGAAGCAGAATCCAGTTACCTCCCACCCTTCCAAGTATTTGTATTTCCCTCACCTGGCAAAAATGTATATAGGACTCTTACCTGTAGCACAAAGGGCCAAAAAGGTCTGGGCATGTTTTTTGACCAAGGCCTGCCGGTCACGGGGCAGAGAGAGCCGGTGCAGAATGAGGGCCAGGAAATCATGGGCAATCACAGCAGCTAGGTCCCACTTGAGCTTCCCCAGGACCAGCACCTCCCAGTCCTGGTGTTTGGGAAAGAGGGTGGAGTCAGTGGCTGAAGAAGGGAAGGGTAGGGAGTAAAGCAGAAATGTCACAGGGAAGGAAGCCCATCGAACTTGAAGGCGAGGGCCCCAGTTCTGCTTCTGGGTTTAAGGACCGGCGTTGTGGAGTAGGGAGTCCAGGGCGCGGAAGATTTGGGGGCACTTGCTTTGAGCATCTACTGCTCATTTACAAGGTGCCAGAACTACGTGTTTGATGTGAACTGTCTCTTTCAATCCTATTTGGTTCTCTTTCGGGGGCCAATAAGCCAGGCCTTCTCCTGACTTCGTGCAGGGCTCGGAGTACTTCTCCGGCCAAGGTTGAACGAACAGACTGCAGCGGCAGGCATCACAACCTTGAGCCGCCTCTGGGGTGAAGCAGAAAGGCTCTCCGTAATCCCAAGGATTTGTGAAAGGGGAGATCACCACTAGCCTCTCCAGTCCTGCATCCCAGCCAAGTCCGCACCTCTTGAAGACACCCAAATGAGCGTGAGGCCGCGCCTCCTGTGACACACCCACTGAACCAACCCTGAGGTTCCTCAAAGGAGAGGTTGCCCAACTTAAGCCACATCCCACAGTGTTGGTGGGACACTGGGGGTGAGTCCTGAGACACAGCACCCCACGCCACCTGGAACCACAGTGGCTTTACCTGGAACCACAGTGGCTAGCGTCACTGAAATCTCAGGAAGCGAAGCAGAGGCCCAGCTAGGCAGGACGGATCCAGGCGATCCTTGAGGGACCAAATAGCATCTCCACCTGCCCACAGCTACATACCACTGCTACGTCCTGGGGGAGGCTGGGCGCCCCACCCAATCCACTCATCTGAGGTTCCTAGTCCTGGCCCCATTTCTGAGTTGCACACATGAGGATTTCTTCACTGTTCTATCACAGGAAGGAACTCTCGGGTTTGGCCCCTTACTAAGGCAGAAATGGCAACCCCACCCAACCTCTTCCAGGCCGTCAGTCACAGCTGTCCCTCTCCTGGCTCCCACCTAGGTGTCATCCTCCTAAATCAGCCCCAAGCCTCTCACAGGGCCCTACAGAAAAGGGCCTGGCCCAGAGCCAAAAGAAGTTGGGCCGAGAAGCCAGCATTCTACTCATGCTTGCCCCAGTTCTCTAGCTCCTAACCCAGAAGTGACCAGAAAGCACCTACCCTCCAAGGAAAGATCTGGAAGGCGACTTGCAATGGGGGTCTCCCTGTGGGGAGGCATGGAAGGAGGGGGTCCCATGTGAGGGCAGCCACCCTACCCTGTATCTGGGCAACTCCTGAGAATCTCAGCCCTCGCCTGGTGGGGAACACACCCCTGGGAGCGATTAGTGGTGGTGGCTGGCAGCTCGTATCACATCTGTAGGCTTTAAGGCCACCTGGGCTAGCCTGGAGACCCAGACCCAGACCCTCCTCAGCCGCTTCAGTGCAGTGCTGAGGCAGGACGGGGACCTTTCCCTCCTTCTCTGGGCCTCGACCCCCTCTGCTGCAACAAGGGTTTGGACTGACTGGAGTTCTGTGCAGTCCCTTCCAACTCTGTCCTTGTAAGAAGACATCTGCACACTCCACCCCCGGCTCAGGCACAGGGAAAAGATGAAGAGTCCTTGTGGCCTGTTCTGAGAGACTACCCTCACACAAAGGCACACACACCATGCCAGTCTTTTCACAAAAAGGAAGTACCCTTCTACCTTCCAGCCCAAACCCCTCCAGAAACATCTTGCTCGCTGGCCCTGGAAACCAGCTCCACCTTCAGACTTGCCAAAAACTACCAGATTCATCACAAAGAGCCGTGGGGCCTCCCGGATTCCCAACTCTGGCCTCCTACTCCCATCTCAGAGAGCTACTTGGCAGGAAGAGGAATCCTGTTCCTCGACAAGCAGCAGTCGGGGGCCCCAGTACCCTGGCTTCCCGGCCAGCCAATCACAGCAGCCTGCATACTGCCCTCCTCCCCGGGAGATGGGGCCCAGAGACTCCTCTCAGGGTCAGAAGAAGACTTGGCCGCCGCGGAGCAAGGTGGAGGAAGGTGCCAGCTCACCCATCCTCTCCCCCAGGCCCCCCAGGAGATGATCCGCCTGCCCTGAATAACCTCTTCCAGATCCAAGCGGCTTCCCCACCTCCTCTCCAGGCTCAGTGGGGGAAAGAGAGCCTCGACTCCCTTGCCCTGCCTCGGGAAGAGCCCAGCCCAAGTTCCCAGCAAGGGGCCCAGGGAGCCACTTCCCAAACCACAGGAGTGACAGCAGCTCCCCACAGGGTTATGAAAGACCTCGGTCAGAGTGGGTGGGCCAGGGGAGGGGGCATCATTATCACATCGGAAGCAGCTGCAGTTCAGCTCCCGGGCTATCCCTCAGCTCTGGCCTTTGGCTAAGGGGGAAAGGGAGAGGTGATCCCACCAGGCCTGAAGCAGCTGCTCGAGTTCCTCAGAACGAGGACCTGGAAGGAGCCAGCTCTTCGGGATAGAAAAGGAAGGAAAGAAGGTGGGATGACAACTCCTTGGCCCTTCCTGAGAGCAATCGGGGCCTGACTTTAATTGGCTCTAGGAGGCTCTTCAATCACAAAGTCCACACTGGGATAAAGACTCAACCAAGGCAGCCCCCTCCCCCACATGAAGCACATTCCACTCCCCCACTCCAGTGGGGGTGTGCAGGCATGTCCTTTTGCTGCCAATAAATAACTCATGGTGGCTGTGTAAACCCAGAGGCAAAGTACTAGTGAGTATAGACATGCAGTTTGACTTGCTGCTATCTGGGGGAAAGACCAGGAAGGAATGGCACCCCCTGGAGGTCAGGAGAAGAGGATTCAATTCATGCTGGCAGCTCAAGCTTGGAGGCCGCGGTTAGCTACCCTGACCGTCTGACTGTCCCCCACACTGCCGTATCTTTTGTCCAAAAAAAATAATAATAATAAAATAAAATCGGTTCTGCTACCCTCCCCAGGGGCAGAAAGTTTCTGAGGTCTTGGCCTTCCTTTTCCTGATAAGTGTGGTGACAGTATGTAGGGGGGTGGGGAGAGTTATGCACGCACCCGCAGCTGGCGGGGAGAGACAGAGTGGTCGGTGTAGATGCACAGTTTTTCGATGGTCAGGGGCGTAGTCTCGCGCAGCTTGGAGGCCAGCAGCATGCAGACCGCACCCAGGAGCTGCAACTGCGCCTTTCGGGTGGGGACGCAGGACAGGTAGCGATCCAGGTAGTTCATGGCCAGGGGGAAGACTTCCTCCTCACAGCGCTGCTCCTCACAAACCTGGGGGAGGGCGCACAGTCACTTCTAGGGCAGGGGCATGGGGAACGCAGCAGCACTAAAGGGGGGGGGGGCGTTGAAGGGAAGTGGATGAGGGGCAAAAAAATGGGGGGGTAACCTTCTGAGACAAGGACTAATACGGAGGATGCGCCTTCCCTAAGGTGACGCCCCCCACTTCCTCCGCGTAGCCTGCCTCCTTCCCCCTCCCCTGGGGGGTGGGGGTACGCCAGAGGCTCCCTTCCTCAAGGATTCCAAACTGAGACTGCCCTCCCCCATAGCAAGAAGGGGGTTGAGGGACGGAAGAGTTAGCCACGGTGGGCAGAGAACTGGGACCTTACCCCCATTACCACCACCCACTGCACACACCCAAAGGGAAGGGAGGAGACTCCAGCCGCTGCCTCCCGCACTTTTCATTTCCCTGACTGCCGGAACAGCGCGCGCGCCACCCCCACCGTCTTCCCCGCCAGAACCCCGCGACAGACACAGGAACCGGCTCTGGGGCGGGGGCGGCCGAGCCCAGGGTTTTCCAGGCGCGCTCTCCCGAGCAATCCGAGCGGGGGAGGGAAGCAGGAGACGCTGAGAGAAGCCGGAGGGGAGAGGGTGGCCCCGGTCCCGCTTTCCTGGCCCGAAGGAAGGGTTAGGGAGGGTGCCGAACGACCGGCAGTCAGAGTTAGGGCTGGGGAAGGGAAAGGGACACCACGGAGGCAGTCGGCTGGCTGCGGTGCCCGAGTGAGAGACCAGGCCCCGGGGATCTGAGCCGCCGAAGCATCTTGCTGATTGTTGTTGAGACCAGGATGTCCCCACAGGGCGGCCCGGAGATGTCCGGAGCCGGGCGGCGGGGGAGGGGAGACCCTTCCGGGAGATACCTCCAGCATCCAGTACGCCAGCATCTTCCGCATGTGCGGCTTGATCTCCCTCTGCACACACTGGAAGTAGGAGGCGCGGGGCACGTAGCGCTCCTCCAGGCGGAGCAAGCTCTGCAGGACACGCTGGTCCCCCAGCAGTCGCGGGTCCGGCCCGGCCCGGGGCGCGTGCCGGGTGCCCTCGCAGCACAGCAGCTCCATACTCGGGCAGCGCACGGGCGGGCGGGAGCTGGGGCTCGCGAGCCAGAACGCAGGCGGCGGTCGGGACTGCGCGGGGCGCGGGTCTGGTGCTGGCGCTGGCACTGCGCGGCCGAGCCCCAGCCCGCCCGCGCCGGCGCGCGCGCCGCTTCCCTGACAGGCGCCCCGCCCCTCGCGACGATGTAGCAACCGTGGAATGCGAGCGTCTCAACGCGCAAGGGGCGGGGCCGCCGGAGCCCCAGACGGAAAGGGCTGGCTGGCCGCCCCCTCCCCCCGGGCGGCCGCATTGGTCCGCGGGGCGCGGGCCGGCCGGCTTCCGGGCGCTCCCGGCCCTTCTGACCACCCGCGGGAGAGAAGCTCCTTGGAGGTGGGCCTCTTCCCCTCCGACGAGCCCTCCCCTTTTGCTTCTCAGACGCTAGCCTCCCGGGAAAGAGCTTTTTTCCAAAGGTTATTCATTCATTCGACAAACCCTACTTCACCCGCTGATTGCTCTGGGCAATATGAATGATAATCGACTGGGCACTTCGTAGTGCACAACGACCTAAGCACTTAACGTGTAGCAACTTATTAACTCCTCACGAAAACTCTCAGGTGTTAAACTGATTTCGCAGATGACGAAACTGAAGCACAGCGCGGGTAACAATCATAGTTAGCCTGTGGCAGAGCCAGGACCTGGAAGCTGAAGTCTGGCTCCAGAATCTGTGCTCTACACCACTGCTACTTAAACTGCGATCCCCAGACCAACAAAAACGGCACTCCCCGAGAGCTGGTTAGAAGTGGCCCACCGAGACGAGCCGGATCAAAATCTGCATTTCAACAAGATCCCTGCTGATCCCCGTGCACATTAAAGTATGAGAAGGGCCGGTCTAAATCTGCATATTACACAAATACAACCGGGCGGAAAGGCCAAGGATTCAAGGCCTCACCTTGTCATTCACTTGGCTGTGTGGCCTTGGACAAGCCCCGAAGTCGGCCTTAGTTTCTGTTTGAGGAAAACGTGGGCGGAGAAACTAGATCCTCTGAGAAGGAGTTTCTAGCTCAGACTCTATAAACCTACTTCCCAAACTTTGGGTTACTTTGCAGTTTCCCCAAAGCTGGATTCTACATGACCAAGAGGCAGACCACAGGCCTCCAGTAAGGCTTCAAATGGGAGGAGGCCTTGGGGATCCCTGCCTCTCCTGGGGCCCTCCCGAGGAAGGAGCCACAGAAGTGACTTGTTAAGAGACAGGACACTGTTACAGCAAGTTCTACGCTAAACATTCTCTCAGTGAGTTGTTCCGTTTTATAGAATACATTTTACCGTCATTTTCATATCATGGAAATGTTTGTTTACATTCTAGAAAACTTCGACAATATGGATAAGACACACAAGAAAGGAAGTAACAGCTACCTACAATTTCTCCAGAGAAGACCCCTTAAAATGTCAATGTTTATTTTTTCTACAATTGTTCTGTGAATGAACACATATTTTTAGGAATAAGATCACTGCAAGCTGTTTTGTAAGCTGGCTTTTCACCCCACTAAAAAAAATACTGTTAGGACTTTTCCATGTCATTAAATATTCTATGTATTTTTTCTTAATTTTTAAAAATTTTATTTATTTTAGAGAGAAAGGGAGCATGCAAGCGGGGGAGAGAGGCGGGGAGAGAGAGAGAGAGAGAGACAGAGAGAGAGAGAGAGAGAGAGAGAGAGAATCTCAAACAGGCTCCAGGCTCAGAGTGGAGCCCTTCTCAGGGCTCAATCCCACAACCCTGTGATCATGACCTGGGCCAAAATCAAGAATAGGGCACTCAATGACTGAGCCACCCAGGAGCCCCTAAATAGTGTACATTTTCAATGGCTACATAGTATGCCACTGGTGAATGCATCATAATGCATTTTACCAAAGCTGAATTATTGGAAATCTAACGTGTTTCTAGTTCTTCCCTATTAAAAACAATACAGTAAAATGCTTTTGTGGTATCTTTGTGCATACTCATGATTGTTTCTAGAAGTGAATTAATTTCTAGAAGTGGAATTTCTCAATGTAAGGTTATGAAACATTCCAAGGCTTTTGATACAGTTCTTATTACCAAATTTTCCTGCTGAAAGGCTGAGCCAATCTAATGAACAAACATTAGAAAACTTGAAGAAAAAACGAACACTACCAGCTGGAGAGATGAAAATGGCATATTAACAATTACATATATTTTTAATTCAAGAACCCTTGTTGTATCAACATGTATCTGTGCCATGTGCCTTGTGTGATCTTGTAAGTCCTTTACTCCTGTCTTCAAAAACACAAACATGCAGTTTCTTCAGCTACTTATTCATTGCAATGCACTCTTTCATTAAAGAGAACAATACATTTAAAATTAAAAAGTTTAGGTATGAAGTTATGGAAGGAACAAAGATGTTGAAGTGTAAGAAGCTTTTAGGGTGCAGGAGAACTAAAAACATATAGCTTTTGAAATAAGTACAGAACCAGAAACTAGATCTGTCCTGAAGGAAGGTGTTTCTTTACTTTTAGAATTACTGCGTAGGACTATTGAGATAAGAAAACTGTACCTTTGATAAGACAGCAAATCACCATTATTTTTTATCTTAAAATTTTTTCCAGTTTTATTGAGATACAATCGACATATATATCAGTTATATTAATTTAAGGTATACAACCGAGGGATTTGATATATGTAAATGTTGCAAAATGACTACCATAATAAATTTAGTTAACATCTGTCTCCTCACATAGTTACATTTTTTCCTTCCGATGAGAACTTTTAAGATCTGCTCTCTTAGCAACTTGCAAGTACACAATATTGTTAACTATAGTCACCATGTTGTGCATTACATCTCCAGAACTCATCTACCTTATAATTAAAAGTCTGGACCTTTTGACCACCTTTTGCCACTTCCCTCAGCCCCCCAAACCTCCCCACTCCCTGCCTCTGACAACCAACAATCTGTTCTCTGTGTCTGAATTTGGTTTTCTTAGATTCCACATACAAATGAGATCATATATAAAAAAAAATAAGATCATATAGTAGTTATCTTTCTTTGTCTGACTTGTTTCATTTAATGTAATGCCCTCAAGGTCTGTCAATGTTGTTGTAAATGGCAGGATTTTTTTTTTATGGCTGAATGATCTTTCATTATATATATTATACACACACCCACACCCACACACACATACATATGCCACATGTTCTTTATGGAGAAAAACTGGAAAGATAAAAAGCGGAATATCAGTAAGAATATTGACTATTATTAGACATTTACATTTCTTATGTAAATTACCTATTTATATCCTTTGCCCATTCTTTTATAGGAATTGTTTTTATTGATTTATAAGTGCTCGTTACATTGAAAGGACACTAACCCCTTTTCATATTTTTTCTTTATCATATATTTTGCAAAATTTTTTTTTGGTTCATCATTTGCCTTTTATTTTTGGTTCATGGTAGATTTGTTTTTTCTGTTTCTTTTTTTTACAAATAGGTTTTAATTTTATATAGCCTTATCTATTGATATTTTCCATAATGATTTATGCCTTTGAATCATGCTTTGCCCATCTTAATATTATAGAAGCATTACAAGAAAGCATAGGAAATATTTATAGGTGATTTTTTTTTTATCACCGAGGGAACTTGTTGAAAATGCAGTTTTCTGGGCCCGGCCTCAGGGCTTTTCATTCTTCAAGTCTGTAATGAGGCCCCCAAAACCTGCATTTCCAAGAGTACATACTATAAAGTTGGGTTGTTGGGTTTTTTTGTTTGTTTTATTTGAGAGAGAGACCCTGCACAAGCCTGCAAGCAGGGGAGGAGCAGGGGAGGGGGTAGAATCCCAAGCCGACTCCAAGCTGTCAGCACAGAGCCTGCAACACACAGCCCAACACGGGACTCAACCTCAGGAACCACTGAGATCATGACCTGAGGTGAAATCAAGAGTCACTTAACCCACTGA